TTACAAGCAGTTAGAGGAAAGTAGGCTCAGTGTGGGGTGAGGCAAAGATTGTGTTCATATTGTGTTTCAGGAATTTCATTAGTACTTGTTCTGATAAGTCGCTGGGGAGTGTAGGACATTCAGGTTTCCTGTATAGTTAGAAAAGACCATACCTGATTACATCTTTTTAAGAACATTTAAGGACAAGGAAGAAGGTGCCTACTTTTCACCTAGATGTGAACTTCATAACCAGAGTTGTTCGAGGTTGAGCAGACCATAACAATTCTTTCAAAACCAAGCATCTTGCAGATATGATAGTACTGGGCTATTTTTGCTTGTATCTTTGTTAACGTGCTAGATAACTTATTAATCATAACTTTATTATTTGTGTGCAAAATATGCCTACAGGACCATTTAATCATATATTAGAGACACTTTATCCACTTTTCCCTCACTTTTCTTCTCTAAGAGTTTGTGTTCGTTAACTAAATATGTTAGAGTGGAAAGACTCTGGAAGGCAGAGCAAATTCACTGTACAATTAAATTTCAAGACCTTGGAAAGGTATGTGTTTAGGCTCAACTAAGTCAGCGGCTGATCTGATACCAGGGGCCAGAGGCCTGGGAGGACCTGACAGTGGCACAGAAAGTAGGTTGATGAGGTTTGGTGCCGTTGAAAGCCAATCTGGTTATGATAATTGACTGACTCTCTTTTCTTCCTCCTTTCATGTACCTGACCTATCTTGTCTTAGTAAAGGTTCTATAGAATTTAATTAGGTAGTGTGGTTATAGAGGTGGAAGAGAACAAAAGTCTGCCAGGATCAGACCAAACCTTTCTGCTTTGCACACTAGACATTTGATTGGGATGTTTTATTTGGCAGGTACAGGCTGGCAAGAAGAACTGATTTAAATTAACTAGAAGGGATAACAGTAGGTTCAGGGAGCAATCTAAATAAAAAAAAAAAGAAAAGGAATTCGTAGCGAAGGCCTTTGTCTGTCTCCTTGTGCTGTGTCATTGGAGCACATATGGCTCTTTATATCAGCCTGCCCTATAACAAAGCCAGTGTTTATTCTGGCTGATACTTAGAAATAATATGAGCTGCACAGCCAAAGCATCAGGGACCATGCAGAGACATTAATTATAAATATACAGTTCTTAGAATGTTTTCTTTCAAAATTTCACTTTTTAGAAAAATGTTCTATTACATAAAAAATAACTTATCATCCTTTTATTTTCCAAATAGAAAGAAAATGCTTTCACTAAAATATATGTTGAGGCAAAAATTCCATTAATACTATAACCAGGTAAACTATTATTCAGCATGGGAATAGTGAAGCACATCAAAATTATAGTTTCTAGCATTTTGATACATGGTAATGATTTTGGTGTGAAAGAATATATTACTCAAAGAAGGAAAAATATATTACTTTGGTTGCACCCAAACTTTAAAGTGTTTCTCATTTTAAATTATCTATCTTTTTTCAATTTAGAAAGAGTTAGGTTCAGTTGTGTCCACATTTTGTAATATCTTAGGATTTAAAAATATCACCCTATTTTGAAATGTAAATTAGCACACATTGGTAGAAGAGGAATGGATTTTGAGTTATATATGGGCCAAAACTCTAATATCCAAACCATATGGTTCTAATCCAAATTAGAGTAGTCTTTTTTAGTAGAAATAATTGGATTTACTCAGAATCATTGAGACATATCAATTTAGAATTTTCTGGGAAGTTAGAAAATATCTCAATCTAGATGAGAAAATAGGTTAGATCATTTGCTTCATGAAAAAACAGTTAATAAAAGACATAGCTATCACATAGTCTATAACAAAAGAACCCACCCCCCACCAAATTATGTGGAATACATGCCTCAATTCCAGAGGTCATGTATAGAATCAGTAATTAGAGGAGAACAAAAGCTATGCATCAAGGATGAGCTATTTCCACCTGCAAATAAACCCAGAACAAACAAACATTGACCATTTCTTATCATGGGGTAGAGGGACTCCTTTGCAGATTTTCTTCTATATACCATTCTGACAAAGGATTCAGGTTACTTTAAGCACCTAAATATTCACTTTGAAAAAAGTTAGGGTTTAAAAGAGTTAAAGAATACTTGAGAATGCTAACTCTTTGATATATTTGGGACAAACAATTACAGAATTTGTGTTTTTATACAGAATTTTGCATTTTATAACATGTTTTTCAAATTTTACTTTCTACTGAAGTATAGTGGTCTTCTTAAAAATGCTTTAAATTAGATAATAACAATGAATACCTTATAGTATGTAGAAAGTTCTAAAGATTGTATATTTTGATGTGAAGATTCTAGGGCAAAACATTTCTTTTATTTGCTTGGCTGGTAGATTATCTGTAGTCACATTGATACCAGGCAAGTCCTGTTATCCAGTGTAGTCTATCAGTTAACATCTATTAATTTCGGGACATAAAATCTTAAAAATAAATTTTAAAGTTAAATATGTGAATAATCTAAGCAAAACTCAACAATGCATTTCAAAATTAAATAGAAAGGATTTTGTCTCTTAAAATAGAATAAAAATGAAATCCCCCTCTTTTTCCAGAAATAGTCATAAAATATCCAGAAGAACAAGAAAAAGAAACTTATATACTTCCTCAATAAAACTAGGAGATCATTATGACCTCAAACTGCAATTTAGGAAGAAGTTCTGTTAAATAGAAGGAATGTCAGAGATAGGTGAAGGTGCTGACAAAAGAAGCCTGTGGTTGCACGTCTCAAAGTGGCAAAGCAGAGTTATCCAAAAAGAGTGGTTCACACAAAAGGGCAAATCAAACAAATTGTAGCTTGTAATAATGGAATGAGTGTGTATGCTGGCAGCAGTAGCCAGCGCTTATCTTGGCGTAAAAAGGAAGCAGGGATCTCAGGAATGAATCTCACAAAGAATGTTATTTTCAGAAGCATTATGACAGCAAGGCAGGGCAAGAGAGAGAGAACTTTGCATTGGAAAGAAAGTTACAACTGCCACTGTATATCACTGTGAAAAAGTAAAAGTAAAAAAGAGTGTGTTCTAAGAAAAATTCCTGCTATCCTGGAACATGTTCTTGGCCCCTTCCCTACAAGAACCTTCTGCAAACAGCCTGTCCAGGAAGAATTTATTAAAAAATAAATAATTTTTTAAAAAGAAATGGGCACAGGATCTGTAGAGTCATAATCAAAAGGGGACTGGCACAATATAAAAAGGCACTACAAGGGACAATCCAAGAAAGAACAAGGGAAAATGGTAGATGAAATACACATGCTAGGAAAACATTGTCACAGAGGAGACAAAAGATTGCAACCAAAAATATTGCTATGAGTTAAATAAATAACTAAAATCCTTAATAAAGTATTTGACTTATAAAAGTCCACAGCAGAGGTACAAAAGCCTAGGAAAGATGTGATTTAAAACTAAAGGTAACCTTGGGCTGGTGTTAGTCATGAAAGCAGAGAAAGAGAAAAACAAAATGTGATGTAATGAAGCTCATAGTGAAAGCGATTCAAAGGAAATTTTCATTTGTGAAAAACGTGAACAAATTTAAAAAATAATATCAATATGGTAGTCAGAGATAAAGTTTGGAAATAAAATCCAAATGAATACAGGTTTTAAAAGATTGAAGAAAATGATACACATATATAGTAAGAAATACACCTAACTCATATTTGATGTTTGAGAAGATGAGAAATAAGAACAGAAACAGAAAAAAATATGTAGCAAAAACTTTCCATAAAATATAGAAAACCTGAATCTATAAATTAAAATGGAATATTTATTCTTAAAAAAATAAGATGGAAAAAAATCAACACCCAGTCACTGCCTGATAAAATCAATTAGCAAAAACAATAATAATATTAGACCCTAGCACACCACCAGGAAATGAAAAACAACCACCATCTCTTAAGCACCTCTTGGGCCAATAACAAAATCAAAACAATAATTTTAAAATTTCTGGAAAATAATTTAAACTTACACACCTGTGGCCAATTAAAACAACAATGATCAAAGAAAAATTCATGCCTTGTTTATACTAATACATGAATAAGAATAAAAAGTAAAGTAAGTTTTAAGCAAAGAGGCTAAAAGAATGAAAACCAAATAAACCTTAGAATCATAACAAAGAAATCAATGAAGAAAATGTAAAGATTATTATAACATAGAAAAATAATTTATATAATGAATGCAATAGTTTTTCCTTTCAATAAGAACCAATAAAATATAAACATTTAGCCAAACTAATAAGTAAACTGAAAAAAAGACACACATATGAAATAAGAGATAATCCTCAAGGAAAAATGATAGAGGAAATTAATATAAATAAGCAACATTGAAATCAGAACTCAGAAAAAATGAAAATCTAGGTAAGTAAATAATAATATCAAAAATAAGGATTGTTGTCAAAGGGCTATCCTCAAATGAGTAGCAGGCCAAATCTTTAAAAGTTAAAACTCATATGAACTGGACATAGGGAAAAAATTCATATTCCTGTGACATGACATTAATAATACTGACATAAATCATACACAAAAGGGTATATCAAATATTTATATATGTTAATATTTGTATAAAAATCCCCCCATAATATTAGCAAATAGAATTCAATAGTACAGTTAGATCACTACTCAATATATACCACAAACTGTATCACATTTTATCAAACAAGCAAAAATCCATAAAACAACTAAAAGAAAATATACTGGAATTTTAAAAATCTCATAGTGGTAAAACCCTTTTTATTTATAAAACAAAAATCTGAATACATAAAAAAGATTGGTAACCATAAATACATAAGCAATTAAAATATTGTGCATGGGAAGATATGTAGTAAACAGGCAGAGGAAAATATTGTAACTTAACAGTTGACATAAAAGAAGGTACAGAATATCACATAAAAAAAGATCAACACAATAAAGTAGTTTATACCCAGTTAACAACAATAAAATATGAATGATCATATAAAAAGTTGTGTAAAAATCACTTACAGTGAGAGAAATACGAAATAAAATTATAGTGAGAATGATTTTCTTCTACAGCTTGGCCAAACTCAGAAATTCCCACTTGGCTGCAGGAATTTACAATCTCTTTAAAGAGCACTAAAATGCATATACCCTTTGACCCAGTAATTCTACCAGAAGGAATTTATCCTAAAATTATGGTCACACATTTATAAAGTAACCTGATTAATGTAAAATTGTTTGTAGTAGCTGAGGAAAGTTCCCTTTAATGAAATTCTGTTTTCTCTTTTTCATATGATTCCAAAGCAATGGCTAATAATGGTTGCTTTGGAAAGGAAAGTGCAGTATTAAATGTTTTTTGAGTTGTCCTAGAAACAGATGCTGAGGCGGAGAGAATGAGAAGTTATCTTGGGGGCAACATTATAAGGGAGTGAGGGAAATAGAATAGGGCAAAGGCAGAAATAGTAGACTAGTCGCAAAAATAACAAAGCCTTCTCCTGATCCCACAAGAAGCTCTGGAACTGAGATAACCCTACTTGACGACCTGTATCTTTAGAGCCCTCATCTCAATCAGCCACTAGAAGCAGGTTTCCTTCAGGAGCAGGTGTGACTTGGAGCAAGGTGGCTCTCTTTGTTAGGTCTGGTGGAGGGCAAACAGGTGGCTAAGGGTGGAGAGCGGGAACTAAATTGTACCTAGGAACCAAATTGCGGCTAGGATCTGTTCCCTGGTGGGAACGTACATAGTAAAAAGTTCCTAGTAACCTTTAACTGACATAGAGCTCATTACCATCTAATTAGCATAACACAGGTGGAGTTTCCTGAAGGATTCTGGGGAAGACACGTGCAGAAATGGAAACTGTTAGGTAGGCAACCTATCCCGTTATGTAACCTGTTATATAATACCAACCTGTCAATCACCCTCAAAGCCAGCAAACGACAACCAATTCTGCCAGAAGAGAGGCAGGACAAAGAAGAGAGTTTATATAATAAAAGGCAGCATGTGCTCAGCGTTCAGCATCTTTCTCCACTCATGGAGACTGACCTATTCCACTCTCTCTGGAACGTGTTTTCACTTTGCAGTAGCTTCCTCCCTTACGTTCATAGTTTCTTTTATGTGATAAACTGTTTGTGTAAAATTGTTCTGTGTTTGTGATCACTCCATCATCAGCTCAACTTGGTACCAGTACTTATTTTTGACACTGGGAACCTGGGGACCAAGGAACATCCAGACAAACCTAACATCTTCAGCTGAGGGCAAGTCCAGGAGAGGAACTTACCTGAGAGGTTTCAGCTGCCAATACTCCCAGCAACTGTGGGAATGAATATTTCAGTCCTACAAGGGGAAACAGAAGAGGGTGGGATGCTCTATTTAATAACTAGCAGAACATCATCTGAATGATCTCCTGTTTGAATGCTGAACAGTCTGCTTACTTCATCAAGTCTAAACAATTGCTGGTCTACACAGGCCCATAATCTAAAGGACAATACGTTCAACTGTGCCTCATATGCTTGTTATCTGTGGCAAATGGCCCAAATGCTAGTCCTTTGATTAGTAATAATCTTTCCTACACTTCTCTGTTTCATTTTTTCTTGACTATTCTAGCCACTCTCTACCTTTTTCCCAACCCTTTTCTCTAAATTTCTCAAACTCTTTTCTCAGTCTATTTATATAAAAATTCCCTTTCGTTTCCAGTTGTTTCAAGAAATATTCCTTTTACCTCCTTAACCTTAATAGGAATCTTAATTTTGTAATTACTGAACTTCCCCCCCAGCCTGTGTAGTTGCTACTCTTCTTATGTACACAACAGATAGAGATGAGTACAATTGTGCAACAGGTAGCCATCTGAAACAAAAGAAGTACCACTCTCCTAATTGCTCCTTTTAGGGTTGGGGAATCTAGATTGTTGCTTTTTCGCCTCAGTGAAACCCTTCCTCCCCTTTTGAGTTTCAAATCATTCAGTTTTACTGCCCACTTCCTTACTTGTGCTCTTTTCCTAACATCCTAGGTAACCTGAAGATTAATGTGGCGGACATGTGTATACTAATGCAAAACTCATTTCCAGAAACAGAGAAGGCAGAAAGGTACTTGCTATTTCTAATTTTATAGTTATTTTGGGCTCAATTCCTTGAAAGGTCCAGCTATCTGCCAGCCATTGAATTCCTTGAGAAAATATTGTATTCTTTTCTATTAATTACTTTTTGTCTTTCAGGAAAAGATGCTTGCTATAGTATAAAACATACTGGATGCAGAGGTGAAAATAACTGTTTTGTCCACATTTTTCTACTGAAATATTGAATAGTTTTCTTTGTTTCTTTATGTCTCAGCTTTTCATCATTAACAGTTCCTAAAGATAGTGTAGTGCAGTGGATAGAACCCTGAATTAATAGATAGGAACTAGGTTCTTTCTCCTTGCTGTGCAACTTAAATATCCATGTCATCTCAGGAAAATCATTTAACCTCCAAATGCCTTAATATGCTCCTATTGAAAATGACCATAGTAGTCATAGAGATCCAATAAGAAGGACATATTAATAATTGACACACAATCAGAACTTTGATGTCATTGTGGAAAGTTATTTAGCCTTGTTACAGCTTATTTAGTGGATACCTTTTTTCACCTTTTTTTAAAAGCAGTGAAGCCCTTTAAATGGAACTTTACATGGGACTTCATTTCTAAAACTAACATTTGTCATTACAAGATAGTACTATAACTTAAAACAATTATTAAGTAATGCTAGCAATTATAAGTCAGCTGGTAGTATACTTTAACATATTGATAATGGCAACTAATTGAGTATTGTGCTGTGAGATTATATTGTTCAAATAGTACAATAATATAGGCCTTCCGATCCTTTGGTCAGTAAACTCCACTAGGCATAAGCTGAATTTGCCTCTGTAATGAAGTTCCCAGCATATTTATAAATTATAATTTATTAAAATATGTGTTCTATGAAATGTTTGCTATTCTCTTAACTCAAATATCCCATTCCTATGATTTTCTATAAAATTGTTAGGGTAAAGAAAATGGAAATACACATGTATGCATACTTTCTAATATCTGAAATTATTTTAAATATATATGTATATATACAAATGTATTTTCCACTATCAACATGAAAAAGTATAGTATCTATCTCTTTTATGAAACTGTACATAATTTTTACCCATGTCCTTTCAAGCTCAATTCAAAAATGTATGTTGGTAATACAAAAATATACTTAAAAATATTAGCAACCTCTTTATCTTACTTGAATCTATTGAAGTTGTTAATGGATCTACCAAAGCTTCATTATTCACCAAACGTGGAGTAGTTAACATTTAAGTTTTAACAATGGTTTCCAGGTTGCTTGTAGAAGTTTAATTCAATAATAAGGATTGTATTGTGTATAATCCTATGAAAAGATACCATAATTAATTGGTGAATTACTATGGCATTGGTAAGTATTTAAACCTTAATTACTTCTTCCTTTTGTCTCCTTCATATCATCAGTTAGGAAAGTCTGGCACATATATTAAAAAAAAAGTGAAAGAGCATTTAGTTGAAGAACAAAAATGTTAATACTAAAGTTTCTTTATTTTACAGATATTCAAAATCGAAATTGTCTTGTTCTTTGTAAAATTCTAAATTAGTGGCTAAGACAAAAAAAAAAAGGCTTCATTTGTGGGAAAGAAATCTCAGATGCAAGAAACTTATTCTTTTAAGCTCCAGAGAAATGTAGTGCATTTATCAGCTTTGAGTGGATATCATTGTGTTTATAACAGAGTGGCGGCACCATGCAATTTTGCTCCTGAAATTGGTTTATATAGATGACTGGTTGCTGTGAAGTGTGTGTCAGAGTTCCATGCAGCTGTTATGAAGTAGTACAATTGTCATCGCTTCTTACATGGTTGTTGAGAAGAGCTTGAGAGCCCAGCTCAGTCAGCTGTTGAATAGATAACCCAACACAGTTAACGTGGCATACATTGTAAAGAATTACATGCCTGCTACAATGAGCTTTGGGCCTTTGGTCTAGATAATAATCCTGGTGGGTGTACCACGTGTAGTGGCTGTCTGATCACTCAGATATAACTGACGAAACATAAAGAAAAATGTCAGTCGACTGAAAGAAAAATGCTGCTGCAAGTTTGTTTAAGGTTCATGTAAACGGCCACATGTATTTTTTAACCCCAAGTCTCCCAAGAACTTGACTGCCATGCTCGATGTCTAATGCTAAGATGCAAAATCTGGAGAGGGTGACCTATTTAAGGCTTCATTTAAGTATGTTGGTGTGCATGAAAGCACTGTCTGTTTTGGTTACAGAGACCTAGCATTTCTGATTCATAGAAAATAAAGCCTTTTTGAAATCAACTTGCATATACAATGTGTAAATAAAGCAGGACTAGAAAAGATAATTATTGACAACTTTTGAGTAACAGTATTTCATTTTAATTTCCAGAAACAATAAGAATAGAAATGTAGATATTTTAGGTGATTATTAATATTAATGAAATTAAAAAGTGGGAAGAAATATCACTATTTGCCATTTAAACATAAACACAAACACTGGGATAATTAACATGTTATAATAATGTTCATGAAGCCCAAAGGAGATGAAAATCATCAAAGTTATAGGATTTCGAACTTAAAACTTTTATTTATTTATTTTTTCATCATTTCCTAACTTTTGCTTTTGGACTTGCTTGTCACAGCCCATAGCGAATGTCACAAACATGGCTTAAACTAGGACTACTTTGATCTCTATACTCATTGGGAGGATTTATGGATGTAATATCCGCTTAAACTTGGGCCATTTTTTTTTTCATATCCAATAATTTATTTCTCCAAAACTTATGATCTCATCTCTCTAACTTCTATAAATAGTAACTTATTTATCAGCAAAATGCAAATCAAATAATAAGCAAAATAAAGTCCTGGTGATAAGTGACCCATATGATAGGAAACTGAGTTTTAGCAACTTGAGCTAATTTCAGTTTCTTATTATTATTTTCCCAAATTTGATATTCTCAAAGTTAGAAAGAACTTTGTCTTTTAGCTTAACCCCTTATAGCAAGCATGGATCACATTTAAATTTGTATGACTGATTTTTATTATAATAATAATAGACGAAACTGAGAAATCTTCAAACAATACACCATCTACCAGTCAAACACATGTTTGTTTTACTCTGTCTTTATTATTTATATTTCTGGAAGTTGTCTTCTGAAGGGCATATTTCTTCAATCAATCTTTCTTAAAATAAAGTCCAGATACCAGGTGCATGAGTCACTCAATAGAACATTGCAAAGATTTAGGTGCAGTAAGTTACATTGTTTATCAAGGTCTATATGCACAGTAAAATCAGAGAATTTCTCTTATATTAATGCAAATGATGAACTTGTGAGAAATAGTTGTAGAGTCATTAAAATCCAATTTTCTGTGGTGATCATTTTTGCAAAATTCATAGTTTGTCATTAAAGCTATCCAAAAATAATCAACTCACACCTAATTAGTTGCAAGCCGGGTACTGTTTTGAAGATATAACCTTTTCCCACATATTCTCCTCCCAATAAATAAATTCTTCAAGCACTATAAAGTTCTTGAAGCACAAGAGGGACTACACAATAAACAATATTATTTTCCATCCCATTTTTCATGGTGGGAGCTTAAAATTTCCAAAATAAAATATTTAAACATTTTATATTAAAATAAATGGAAATTGAAAGAAATGAAAGATTTAACATGGCCACAAGTTCTTTTTCATTCCTCCCATGAAGAATTGAATCTCAACCCTTGAATCTGAGCTGCCCTTATAAACTGCTTTGACCAACGGACTGAGGAAGATGTGACTTTATGTGACTTCTGGGCTTAAGCTTCAAAAGGCCTTAACATTTTTATGCACACACTCTTGGAATACTGCTGCCTCTTTGTGTGAAGCTTGGGTTATCCTGCCAGGGGATATGTGAAGAAGATAAATCTAGATGTTGTACCTGAAGGTCCAAGTAACTAACAGACTCATGAATGAGGCCACCTTGGAACATCAAATCCTGCTTGAACCTCCAGGTGACTACTTCCACATGAGTAACATCAGACAAAAGCAGAAACAAATGACCTAGCTGAGTCAGCTCAAAATGCAAGTCATAGATAAATAAATGGTTATTGTTTGTTGTGGTTTGTTACATGGCAATATATATAACCGAAACAGATGGTGAATATTCTGATGATTTCTTTGGGAAATATGTTTGTAAAAGTGGCATGATTATAGTAATAATGGCAATTTTTTATCTATATATAGTAACTTACATTTCAACAACTCTCATTCTAAATGCAAGAATTTAAACATAGTCTATATAGATTTATGGTTTAAGAACTTGAATCCCAAATATCTGTCTCTGTGTTATCAAATAAGCCATCTGAATAATGAAAATTTTATTCCATTGACAGTGTTACAGAAATATTTGTTTTTATTTTATCTAAATGAAAATAAATTCACTTTTTCTCCTCTCTGAATTTATTAACTTTTTAAAAATATTGGCTGTGTTTGGTTATTTGGGGGAAGAAAAACTCATACTTCTTTTGACATAATAAGATTGTTTATTGTTTCAACTTGATGATAGTGCCTACAAAGCTGTATTTCTGGGATATATTAGAGCTAGTCAGAACCACCTAGGAAGGAAAAGATGACATTTTAAATATCTATTCTAATTTTTAAAGATATACTTAAATGGCATTGTTTAGCTGACCCTGAAGCTAGTCAACATACTATTTGTTAAAGCATGCCACTTGGTGCTAAATATATAGATTTTGACAGTGATTTCTAAAGAGATATTCTATCTATTCAAGCCTGGCTGCATTTCTGAGCCATAGAATAGGTTATAGTCTAAAAATATAATACATTTCTGTCTTTCTTTTGAGACTGATATATTGGACATTTATGAGTTTGAGTTACTTGTTTCTTTTCTTCACCCATCACTTCCTTTGAAGATTTGAGCATATTAACAGAGAGGTCTCCCTTTGAAAATGTAAGCTAGAGTCATTGCCAGAATTTTATTTCAATGGGAAGTGCTAACAACACGTTACCTAAGATCCATACATTTCTAGGTAAGAGGCCAAGTTCATATTTTGGAACCAATACCTTGATGGAAATCACTTGATGTAAACCCACTTCTCACAAAAGAGGCAAGCAAGAAGGCAAATATTGAAAACAAATAGGCAAGCAATAACACACAACAACAAACACAACAAATTATTTTCAAAACCTATGGCCATTTACA